GAACTAATAGATTTATTAAGATTAGGAGGTTTTGAATTACATAAATGGTGTTCGAATGCACCGCAAGTGCTGGCTGATATCCCTGCTGAAAGGCAGCAGCTAGAAAATATTGATTTAGCATTTGATGATATGTCTGTTAAAACGTTAGGCTTACATTACAATATTAAAACAGACAATATTGATATTACTTGTCCAGAACAAAAGTTTTTGGAAGTTTATACTAAGAGAGAGATTTTAAGTTTTATTAGTAAGTTTTTTGACCCTTTGGGAATACTGGGTCCTATATTAATTAAAGCAAAATTATTTTTGCAAGAGCTTTGGAAGGCTAATATTAATTGGGATGTTCCACTTTCCTTTGATTTAAATCATAAATGGAAAAAATTTGCTTTTGGTTTAATTAACATGTCATATATTTCTATTCCAAGAAACATTAGTGTTTCTAAGTTTGTTAAGATTGAAATAGTAGGGTTTGCTGATGCATCAAATAATGCATATGGATGTTGTATATATATAAGAATTGTAAAAGAAGATGGTACTGTTTGTATGAACTTGTTATGTTCAAAATCTCGAGTCAGTCCCATTGGTAAACAACTTTCAACACCTAGGCTTGAGCTTAATAGTGCACTCTTGCTCTCTATTTTAATAAAAAAGGTTTATAAATGTATATGTTTAAAATTTGATAAGAAAGTTATGAATGTTTACTTGTATTCAGATTCACAAATAGTGTTGTCTTGGTTGAAAATAGAACCTGTACGGTTATCTGTATATGTGGCTAATAGAGTCAAATCTATAAGAGATTCCTGTAAAAACTATTCTTGGCATTATATTAATACACAATCTAATCCAGCAGATTGTATTTCTAGGGGATTAGATCCTGATATGTTGAAAGAAAATATTCTCTGGTGGCATGGACCACAAATTATGCATGATAAAGATTATGAACATTCTAATGACTTTGTCCAATTAGTTGAAAAATTACCTGAAATTAAAAATGTATGTTTGTTTACAATTGATTCATATGATAAAAATTTCATAAAAAATTTATTGTATAGATATTCATCTTTTTTAAAACTCCAAAGAGTAGTTGCATATGTATATAGATTTTATAAAAATTGTAAATTGCCTAAAAATGAAAGACACAATGGTGTAATAAATGCCAAGGAAATTAATGATGCTACTTTAGTAATTGTTAAATGTGAACAAAGGCAATATTTTAATAATGAAATTCATAGATTAGCAAAGGATCAGCCAGTAAAAGGTAATTTGTTACAATTGAATCCATTTCTAGATGAAAGGAAAATACTTCGTGTTGGTGGTAGATTAGAAAATGCATCTATACCCTATTCTCAAAGGCATCCAATGATATTACCGAAAGGGTCATATATAACGAAATTAATAATTTATGATGCCCATGTTAAGCTGTTACATGCAGGGCCTAAACTTATATTAAGTTATTTAAACCAAAAGTATTGGCTGATCAATGGTTTAAGAGAAATTAAATCTGTAATACATAAGTGTGTTGTATGTTTTAGACTTAAGGCTAAACAAGCTTCACAGTTGATGGGTTCTTTGCCACAACAGAGAGTCACAGCAACCCGTCCATTTGAAATAGTTGGTGTCGATTATGGGGGCCCATTTCAAATAAAGCAGTCACGTGCAAGAAAGGTTTTAATTTCAAAAGGTTATATTGTATTATTTATATGCTTTTCGACTAAGGCTGTCCATGTTGAACTTGTATCTGACATGACCACAGAAGCATTTCTAGCTGCCTTAAAAAGATTTATATCTAGACGCAACATGCCTTCTATAATATATTCTGATAATGCTGCGACTTTCCATGGGGCAAACAACCAATTAAATGATCTGTATAAGTTAAAAAATTCTGTTGAGCATCAAACATGTGTTCAAAATTATACGTCATCGCTTGGCGTTCAATTTAAGTTTGTACCTGCATATTCACCGAATTTTGCGGGAATCTGGGAAGCAGGAATTAAAAGTGTAAAGTATCATTTAAGACGTGTCATAGGTGACAAATGTTTTACTTATGAGGAATTGTATACTATAATGGTTCAAATAGAAGGGATTTTAAATTCTAGGCCGTTAACGCCATTAGTAATGTCTGATATGAATGACTTTACTTACCTTACACCTGGTCATTTTCTCACAGGTGCATCTCTCCAATGTCTACCTGAGCCTAATGTTACTAACGTTCCTACCAATAGATTAAAATTTTGGAAACAGTGTGTACAAATTCAACAGTCATTTTGGAAGCAGTGGCATAAGCAATATCTAGTTCAGTTACAGAATCGTCCTAAGTGGCAGGTAGCTCAACCTAATTTGCAGGTTGGAACATTAGTCATCGTTAAAAACGATAATGTAAGTCCTCTAGCATGGCCCATGGCCAGAGTGATAAAAGTGTACCCTGGAGAGGATGGAAAGGTGAGGGCTTTAGATATTAAAAACCAAAAAGGTTTTGTAACAAGAACAAGTATATCAAAAGTTTGTATTCTACCAATAGAAGATAATAATGTATTGGGTATTTTTTAAATTGCCTTGAATTGTAGTTTTTATATTATATGTATGTCTATATTTTTTTTTAACTTAACTGTATGCAGATTTACGATAATTTTAATTTACTATAAAACTTTAAAATTGTATAATTTCTTTTGTAGAGGCCGCGACTATGTTCAAAGCAGAATGAACACAAATTCCTTTGCATAGCAAAAAATTGATTTAAAAAGTTTTGCCGTTTTTGGCGGTCTTCTCGAACTTCTTGATTTTGAGACGCGTGTGGGCTATAGCCACAAATATTAAATTAATTATTATTAAGTAGTCTTAAAGGCTAAATATTACAAATTATAAATTAATCTAATGTAACACAAGGTGTGTAAATAATAAATTCTTTCTTATGTTTACAAGTGCGATGTTTTTATTTTATAATTAGTGGACTCAAGAAACGACCTATGGATGATAATAAATTAACATTGAGCGTCGCACACAACAAGCGACTCAACATCAAAACTCACCATTACGTCATCCGGATCCAGTTTTGTATCATCAAGGATCTGTACAAAATGACGCGAGTCCTTCACAAAGGATGTTGTAGTGCCCACAAGGGGTTGCAGTACGGAAGCAACGTGTTTTGCCAAATAATAAGTAGGTGAGTCAATCTGACTCACAATCGGTCTCAGTGGAACGCTGGCCTTATGCACTTTCGGCAATCCGTATAATTTTGGTGGTTGTACTATCTTCGGCTTGTATAGGTTCTCAAAGATGTCCTCGGTGAAAAGGTGTTTATAATCCCTGATAACAGCACGTATTCTCCTTGTAACTCTCGCAGTTGGATCGTACGATACCGGCTTATATATGTTATCATCTTGCAACAGAGCAAGTATTTTGGAGTCGTAATCGCTAGTATTTTTCACGACGGTAGCGTTGCCTTTGTCGGCCTTGAGAACGAGAAGGTCCTTATTAGTTCTCAAGTTTTTAAGAGCTCTACGCTCTTCGCTCGTGACGATGCTCTTAGGTACTTTGGATTTACGTAACACGATAGCGACATCTTGCCTCAAAGCGTCGGCATCATCAGTTGGTACCTTATTACGAACTATTGTCTCCTCTATACTGCTGATGATATGTTCATACGGTATCTTCTCGGGGTAGTAGCAAAATTCAGTCCCTTTGCTAAAACACTGCGAGTGGCACCGTCAAGTGTAGTATCAGATAAGTTGATGACGTCATCAACTGACTCCCCAGTGATCCTTGATCTTCCACTACGAAACAGCAATTTTTCGAATTTACGTTCATGCTTTTGCGTGGATAACTCGAAAATTCTGCTTGCTTGCTGATACGTTACGCGATCACATAACTCAAAATCACTGTACGATAGCTCGGACACACACTCACTATGCACTTTATAAAGGGCACGCTGTACACTGTCCAACTCACGATGACCGTTACGTATCAGTTGTTTAAGAAGACGAACACTCGCGCTCCGTAGAATGTCACTGGAATGTGCTATGTGTACACGCGGCTTAATACGAACGCACGTAGGTATCAAACCGTTATCACGACATTTTGTTAGAAAAATTGATGAAGTCTCTAACCTCACTTTTTTCTTCCGTAACGATTCTAGATGGCGCACTTTGTTTGCAATTCTTTGTTTACGTATAATAAAATCAAGTGGAGGGTACATCTGAAAATCAGTTAAAAACATTATTACCGGATTACCCTCAACTAAAATCAGAAGACGACACCCGCCAGTTCTCCAGTCTCCTCGTGACCACGGCTGCTGTAACGTAGCCGAAACGTCGAGGTAAATTAATTGTTTTAAAAAAATGCACGAATAAGACCCGATTGCATATAATTATAATCATAAGTATATAAAATCAATGTTAATTGTCAGGTAATTTTCAATTAAGAACAATAAATGTCAAATGCTTAGAATTAAAAATTATAAATTATGTCACAATGTAGATGTCAAAACAAAACAAAAGTTAAATTGTCAAGAGATAAATTAAATTGTCAAGGAAGAAAGAAAAACATGTTGTGTCAACGGCAATAAAATATTACAATTTGTCATCAAAATATTCTTGGACATTATAATAACACTTGTCAATGAGAATTTGTTTCAATGTCGTTACAAACTTTTTGATATTAATTTCATTTTTTAAATTATCTATTATCTTAACTTCTGTATCGTAGACCAAACCGCTCTAACCACTCATTATTGTTATTCTGTAATACTTTTTAGATAAGTGCTTCCCGCGCGGGTTACAAAATGCATTCGGTTCCCGATCGGTTCAATATAGAAAAATATATATAGGTATATATATATTTGATAAATTTTTCATTTTACAACGGTATACTGAAAATATTCTTAAAAACAAGTTTTATATATTTCTGATCTGGGTGTTGTGGTGCCTTCGTTGATTCATATTTCCACTAATTGTGGTTTGAACAATACCTGTGATATTGTGTAATAATTTATTTATTGTGACCAGTTGCACGTGTTACATGCGACGGTATCGTTACGGGAACCGTTCCAGCAGAGAGTGGAGCATCATCCTTGCTTGAGAAGAGTACAGGTGCCGGGGTGGGCGGGTCAGTATCACTCATTCATTCATTCATTCATTCACTCACTCACTCATTGCATCATCATCACCATCATCAGCCCTTTTACGTCCCCACTGCAGGGGCACAGGCCTTCCTTATGGATGGTTAAGGAGGATGGGCCATGACCCTCCACGCTGGCCCAATGCGGATTGTTGGGTATTAACGACTGCAAATGCAGCCGGGACCAACGGCTTAACGTGATTTTGAAAGAATTATTTACAGTCTTAATTGTCTTTTAATGTACTTTTTATAAAATGTACAGTTTTAATTTTGAGTGATTACTTGATTAATATAACGACCTTTTAACTAATATAACTCGATTATTTATGTGTGATATTTAAATAGTATTTTATGATTAATGCTTTATGTTCTGGCGTAGTTTATATTCTTTGACAGTATATTTCTTATAATTTTTTTTATTAAATAACAATTGGTAATACATTTTAATTTCATTTTTATGCTACTGTATTATAGCTGAATAGGTGTTAATAGGTTTTCGCAACTATTTGTCATCTATCATCTTGTATATCCTTTTCGAACACAAATAAATGGTTCTTTCTTTCTAACCTTATTTTTTATTATTTTAAATACAGGGTTAATTGAACCTTAAGCCTTAAACCAGGGCTCTCTGATCTCGCACCTGAAACGGACAGGTTTAAGGGTTGGAGGGGGGGGGGGGGGCAACTTCTAACCTAACCGATGGTTCTGTTCTTTTTTCGTTATGCTGATGATGATGTGTGGAACAGGTCTTGGCGGTGTCAGATACGTCCCAGCCGGCTGGGAAGATGCGTCTGTTGATGAACTGAACTCTCTGAACAGACAACTTGTGGACACATTGAGAGTGACAGATGGCGCTTTCTCTTGCGGTGAGGGGGAAGATGGATTAGCATGTGTTAGGTTAGTGTTATTGTCTATGTAAACGAAAATTAAACGTTATATGTTTTGCGAAGCGTAAAATTCAAGAGTAAACTTATTTTAGGGTTCCGTACCCAAAGGGTAAAACGGAAACTCTATGACTAAGATTATATATATATTAGATATAATGCAGTTTAAATCTACTATATAAAAAATACTCATTAAAAAACTTATAATAAGGTATCCGATTATATAACAGATAAGAATGCTTGGACTTGAGATGATCCAGCAACTGGATAGGTGATTACTTCTAAACTCATTATATATCAAAAATTATTAAATGATTATGTTATCATTATAAGACCATGGTTTTTTTTTCTCTCTCTGTTTATAATGTATTGATCTGGTAATGACATGGTTTTTGTAAGTGTCATTTACTCCTATTAGAGCTGGTGAGTTTCTTGCTCGTTCTTCTTATCAGCCAAAAGACGTCCTGAACGAGTGGTAAATTCGATTGGGACGATTCAAAAATACTTTTAAGAAGTCTATTTGAATAAAGATTATTTGACTTTTACTTAAGACTTCGCTATCTGTCTGTCTGTCACCAGGCTCATGAACCGGCAGTTGAAATCTTCACAGGTAATATATTTCTATTGCCACTATGGCAACAAATACTAAAAAACAGAATAAAATAATTATCTAAGTGGGCTCCGATACTGCAAACGTATTGTTTTTGCTCGTTTTCGTCGTCGCTATGGAACCCTTAGTGCGCGAGTCTGACATATTTTTTGAAGTATTTTTTGAAGAAGCAAAAAAGTTTAAACGCAACAAAATATATACGGCCAGTTTCTGGATTAAAAACGGTACAAAATTTCATCTGATTATTCTCAAGTTAATGAATAGTTTTTTTTTACATTTAATTAGAAGTTTTTACTATTCACAAGGCAAAAAGTCCTAGCTTTTGTCAAAGAGCTATCAGCTGGTCATTAAAAAAAAATCTGTAACGAAAACCTGTTTAAGTGACGTTTAAGTACAGTTTGAGGCGTATTTAAGTCTCAAACTGAAACCGGGTGTCAAGTCAAACTAATAAAAATAACGCTTCTTTTTCACAATTCTTATTATTGTAAGGGTACTCTATTAGTCTGATTATGAGAATTTAATATTAAAAATATTGCTTTAGATTCGGCATGGTAACAGCGGATACGGACGTGGATGAATTATTAGACTTGGTAGTGTCAGCGGGCAAAGAGGTGGAAGAGAGCTCTAGGGCGTTAACGAATATGAGTGAAGTTGTAAAGAAAGGTGAGTACAGTCTTGTTTCATTCAAGTATACACAGAAGAGAGCAAGAAAAAGGGCACCAGTACCGGTACCATTACTTTAATATGTTACGTTAATGATTTATTCGTAATACGACATATAATACACTTAAGATTTTGAAGATCCCAAGCAATTACAAATGCCATTTATATATTGAATAGGACCCAAATGAGACCCCTGGGGTACATCTGAACAGATAACTAATTTTGCTTAAAAACAGGTAAGAATAACTATTGTTTAAATAGGCTGCTACCCACTCCTACGGAAAATCAGCCACCTGACATGTTGAGCTGTGAAACATTTAGTTTGTTGAAATGTGACGTCACAGGATACTCCGTCATGTTCACTTTGTCCCTGGCACTCTGGGATGGGATGAAGGATATGAAATTTATGTTTCTGTTTTAAGCAAACAATCGACCATATGATCAGTTTTCATTAAATGATTTGTATTTGCATTTTATTAGGCTACAGATACTCTCATACGAGGAAACCGAGAACCCCATGGTTTCGGCGCTTAGACTTTTTAGTAACTTATGTACCTTTATTAATTATCTTCCACACACACAAACACATGCATGCACACACTTTCAGTTATGTATCAGCTCATAATTAAATTATGTATCTACAAAATTACACATAATGTCATATAAAGGAATTGAATTGTAAATTCTATGGGTTCTACGGGGATTTTAGGGCGCTGTACGCTGGAATACAGGATGTCTTTTCCTATTTCGGCAACAGAGGAATAATTTGTCACCTATTTTTGTAAACTAACTAAGTATAATTGTAATATTCCTACTTTATATAATAAAGATTATCACTGTATTACTATTTGGGAAATAATAGCATAGCCTTTGAAGGTTTGGAAAGTGGTTATTCCGTATAAACATGCCTTAATAAGTATTGCATACCGTAGGCATAGAGGCGGCCCAGGCGGACCTGGAGCGCGAGAGCGCGGAGCGGCTCTGGCAGGAGGGGCTGCTGCGGCGCGTGCCGGTGGTGGGGCGCGTGGTGGACTGGTGGTCACCCATCCCGCCGCCGCCCACCGGCCGCCGCCTGCATCTGGCGCACGGCACCTTGCAGAGCACCGCCGACGTCTACAGGTACTGCATTATTAATACTAGCTGTTTTTATATAAATACGGGGTATTCTAAAAATTTATTTAAATTAATACATTGTGGGTGCTTATTCTCTAAAAAATATTAATTTATGTAAATAAACCTCATTATCAAACTTTATATGCAGAGCGATTCCGTAAAAGTTCGAACCCTAATTCGAATTCACTTCGAAAGCGACATCCACTTGAATTCGCTTAAATTGGTATTAATGATTTGTAGTATAAGTGAAGTGAGCTTCGAAATGTCAGGAATAGAATATCTGAGACTGGTATAATCGATCTTGTATTTTTATACAAAATATGGAATCAATAGAATTTCTACACTAAATGGCGTGAATTCGAATTCCGGTTCCGATTTTTACGGAATCGCTCTGCAGCACGCGATTGTTTTGATTGTAATTTTATTTCTTGAAAAATTATGTAATAGGCTTGTATTATTTAAGTGAAAATACAGGTTTCTAAATATATGAACCATTTTAAGTTATAAATATTTAACAAAATAAATTTTATGGCACACCTTTGAAAAATATTACGCTTTAAAACTTGAAAAAACTAAGGAGAATATATTACAAAGATTTGCTAAAATACTATGGCATTAAATGAGTTACATTCAATGTTACAACTTTAACTATAGCAGCTATAAACATAAACACACAAATATCAAAGATATTACAAAGATGCCCAGACGCCTATATGTTTTGCGCTACCGTAGCGCCGTGTGACGTCACTTAGTGTTCCACAAACATACCACCGTATCTCCAAAACTTTTAATCGTATACATACTGTTACTTCTACATTATTTCTCAGATATTAATTGTCTATTTATTTATAAAATAAAAAAGTTTGCCAACTAGCCAATTCTACTCGTGTAACGCATGTTTATAGTATCTTCCCTTATACCATAGATACGTTCAAAACAAGAAACAAGATGTAATCGAGGAGCCAGCACGAGCACACTCGCCCACCAGACAAACGCAACCCGCTCAATAACTGTACTACTGTAAGTGATGTACAATACATAGTACTAGTACAAAACAATATCTACTATAGATTAATGGCTCTCCGCTAGCGTGGTCCTTGTGGAACTGTTTATTTGGACATCGATTACAATGACAAATTGAAGAGAAAACAATGGTTACTGTGGTAACGTTTCAATCCCCTATACAAAGTTCCACTCCCATTTCTATCCCTTTATTTGCTATTTTTCGGAAGAAAATATAGCCTATGTTCACTGCATATGATGTAGCATCTCGAAGGTAAGTAGGTTCAGTAGTTCCGGAGTCTATTCGATGCAAACAAACAAATCTTTCGTCTTAACTAAAATACTAGTGTTTATTTTATGTAAAAAAGTCGCAGAAACTATGTTTGTGAAAGAAATAAAACAAGAAGCCTTAAAATTACATCAATTGAAACCTTTTCTTCTTTTATTTTAATGGATGATTTACGTCAACCACAATAGGGATGATGACTAATTTTTGTTTGTTTGTCCGTCAGGTAGAGTGTTAAAAAATATTAAACACGTATTTTTTTATTTTTTCGTAATCATAAAATTACGGCGTTACATGGAGTTGAAATTTCGCATGACGTCACGTTAGAGTACGTTATCTGCTCAACTGTGACGTAGCGAGCCCCCACTCCTCAACTTTAATGCCTGTTATCTAAGCTATTTCTTGTTAAGAGCCATATGACAAATTTTCACTCTGTGATTTGAGTTCTCGAGAACTTGTTCAAGGTCACGAGTCCACAATAATGTGTTGAAACCACGTTCAAGCTATTTTGATACTTTTTCCAATTTTTGTATTTATTTTAGTATTTCTATGGTGAGATTCATTATCGATTCCCGAATATTTTAAACGACTGCTCTCGAAAAGGAGTCTATTGTTTTTAGAATTAATGTATGTATGTGAGTATTTTTATTGCACCATAACTTTTGAAAGATATAACGGATATGAATGTACAGGGTATCATTAGAAACATCATCCTAAATTACCACAAAATACATAGAGTATCAGTGAAACTAGCTTAATTATTAATATTAAATAGGTATGGGGACGTGTGACGCCATTTAAAAAAGTATGTTTTTTTATAATCATAACTTTATGGGTATCAACTTAAAGGGCCATTAAAAATATATAATCTGTATACAAAATTAACTGCTCACTAAAATGAATAAAATATAAAAATTATTTAAAAATTAAAAACACGACTGCTAAGATCGGACAAAAATTAAAAGAAACAAGTTAAGCCAAATCATAGGCTATAAATATAAATAGCGATGACAATATATCAATAAAATTATAAATATTAATTAAAAAATATTCGTGCCATATTTTTCGTCGACGATTTCGAAATATTTTCGTCATCCATAGGAAACATGGACTGTTTCCTGTTTGGAAAAGTAGTAAATTAGAATTATATTAAACTAGTTGTGCCCGCGGCTTTATGCGAATGGAAAGTAACCTAAGGTTCTTTTCTCATGGCTAGATGCGATGTTATTCGATATGAATGAACGATATCACACGAATCGCATGCACTTATAAAATGTATGGAAAAACTCAAGTGTTTGCTCATGAGATTGTACTATCTGTCAATATCGGTCACAAATCTCATGGTCTGCGGTATCACTTCAAATGTATGAAGGTGGTAGAACGCTTGATCTGCTTTTGATTTTTGATGAAATTGTATGTGTGTACAAAATAAATAAATAAATAGATAATCCAACATTTTGTGGCGGCGGCCATCTTGTATATAAAATTTTGTCATAGTAAACAGTATTCTACTACTCAAGCCCTTTTATTCAATGTCCGTATTGAGGGAGTCGTGAAAAATATGTAGGTAATCCAACATTTTTGGTTGCGGCCATCTTGGATTTGAAATTTGTCATAGTGTTCAGTATTCTACTACTCAAGCCCTCTTATTTGATACCCATATTGATGGAATGGTGATAAAATATGTGATCCGACATTTTGTGGCGGCGGCCATCTTGTATCGATTTTCATCAAAGTGAAGAACACTCCCGACTAATACACCTTTTAAACAAAATCAAAATGGGTTCATCCGTTCGGGAACTATGATGCCACAAAAAGACACAAACACACCACACACACACACACACAGAGACATGTCAAACTTATAACACCGCGTCGTTTTTGCGTCCGGGATTAAAAATATATTGAATTTAGAAAAAGTTGTTTCATATGCGGATCTCCGATAAATTTGATATCGGTCGAATTGCATCGAGCCATAAGTCTAAGTGAATCCTCATTACGTAAGTCAACTTCTAGTGAAAGTCTCTTCAAAATCGGCCAAGCCGTTTCAGAGATTAGCCAGAACTAACAGACAGACAGATAAAATATATTATTTTTGTATATGTACCATGTATACACACAAATGTATTTAGTGAAAAGCGGTTATTTTAATATTACAAATATGCACTCCAATTTTATGTACTAGTATAAGTGTATTGAGAGAAGAAGTACCTTGCTTTATTTGCATTTCATAATATAAATATATATTTTAACTTTCTTATACAAATATACCTAGGGGTCTTTCGACCTATGCTGAAAATAACAAATGTGTATTAGAAATAATTCAATAAGCTATATAAATTCCATATAAATCGAACTTCGTGACCAAAGTTGGAAGTCCCACTATACTGCTCTATTTACGCTCGCTCGAACGTATCTAGATCGAAAAATGGCGCGAAGAAATGCGACACAGGTCTAACGTTGAGGAGCGCTCGCGCGGTACTGAGCTCAGACGGCCGCTGCATCTTATTTTGTAGTGATTTTGCGTTTACATTTATCGTATTTATTGAAATAATATAATAAATTTATGCTTTAAAATTATAATAACTTTGTTCCTTATGAAATAGTCATTAATCTGGCATAAATTTTGTTAAATAATATTGTTGTGGCTAAGAGAAATTCAAAGTTAACTTCAAGCAATTTTTGATGTTTTTTGGTTTG